GGCCGGGCGCGGTGGCTCAAGCCCATAATCCCAGCACTTTGGGAGGCCGAGGCGGGTGGATCGCGAGGTCAAGAGATCGAGACCATCCTGGTCAACATGGTGAAACCCCGTCTCTACTAAAAATACAAAAAATTAGCTGGGCATGGTGGCACGTGCCTGTAATCCCAGCTACTCAGGAGGCTGAGGCAGGAGAATTGCCTGAACCCAGGAGGCGGAGGTTGCGGTGAGCCGAGATCGCGCCATTGCACTCCAGCCTGGGTAACAAGAGTGAAACTCCGTCTCAAAAAAAAAAAAAAAAGAAAAGAAAAGAAAAGTAAGCTGACCAGGATTGGATAAGGTGGACAGTGTGGAGGAGAGCACCAGGGCCACAGCAGGTAACAAAAACTTCCTGTTTTCAATGAACTTTAATTCTGGTGGAGAGATAAACATTTGTCAGATGTTGACGAGTGCTATAAAGAAACAGGGGGATTAGGTTCCGCTCTTGTTGCTTGTGTTGAATCCAGAACTGTAGCCAGACATGGGACTGGAGGACGAGCGAAAGATGCTGACCGACTCCGGAGATCCTAAGGAGGAGGAAGAGGAAGAGGAGGAATTAGTGGATCCCCTAACAACAGTGAGAGAGCAATGCAAGCTGTTGGAGAAATGTGTAAAGTCCCGGGAGCGACTAGAGCTCTGTGATGAGCGTGTATCCTCTTGAACACAAACAGAAGAGGATTGCACGGAGGAGCTCTTTGACTTCTTGCATGCAAGGGACCATTGTGTGGCCCACACTCTTTAACAGCTTGAAATAAATGTGTGGACTTACTCACCCCAGCCTTCATCATCTGGACATCAGAATATTTCCTTATGGTTTTGGATATACCATTTGTTTCTTCTTATCTGTGTAAGTGTAAGTTCACATGAACCTCATGGATTTTGGCTTAGGCTGGTAGCTTCTATGTAATTCACAGTGATTCCATCTTAATAAAATTTCTGTGATCTGCAAAAAAAAAAAAAAGAAACATGGGTATGAGGCTGGAGGGAAGAGCCAGCTAACACAAGTGCAGAGAGGTGAGAGATGGAAGCAGGTTGCGTAAGGCTTTGAGAAGAGGCCAGGTGCGGTGGCTCACACCTGTAATCCAAGCACTTTGGAGGCCAAGGCGGGCTGATCACCTGAGGTCGAGAGTTTAAGACCAGCCTGACCAACATGGTGAAACCCCATCTTTATTAAAAAAAAAAAAAAAAAAAAAAGGTTTTTGAAAAAAAAGCACTCACTTTGAAGAAAAGTGCATTTTGCCCTCCCTCACCATGCCTCGTGTACCTCTCTTTACCTAGCTTCAATTCCATGGTTCACCGTAATCCCCCTTCCTACTTGGTATTCACCATCAACTCCCTGGCCCCCTTCTCTTGCTTCATCAAATTTAATTGACAACAACAGCCCCATTTACATCCAATTCTCCACCCACCTGCACCTGTGCGGTTTAG